ACCTGAGGTCAGTCACTTCACTGGGTATATACTGTATAAGGGTTTACAACCACTTTAACTGAGAGGCTGCCATTGCTGATCAGAAAAAGTCTGAAGTCTTATAAAGCTGAAGTTGACTTACTATGAAGAATACTAAAGTATGGAACGTTTTTAGGAACCCTATGTAATCTGGGCCCCCGGTCAGCTGTCTGTTATTCCCTATTTATACTTCCCGAATGGTGTTATATTTTGCTAACACCAGTTTGGTATTATTCTCTACTTGACACCAGAAAATAGCATTATGCGCTTTGGCAGTCACCAGGAACTAATAAAGGACTGCCATAACCCTAGCATATAATAAGGCACAGGGATGGAGTTTAGCTTATCAGCTCATAAAAACCCTCCATTCAGCAGCCTAAATAGGATTTCTGTATATAGATTATTTGAGGAATGCAGACCGAGATAAATATTTTTCCTGGAATTAAAAAACACTCTTTACAATAAAGAACAGTTGGCAACCCTAAGATACCAACTTCCTAAGTAATAAAGGCTGCACTGAGGCCCTATATTCATATTCCCCTTTGGCCCTGCAGAGAATCAGATGTCAGATTAAATTGATAGCAAGCACATTAATGCCTACATTCATAAATTCCACCTATTTGTACAAGGTATAATGCAGGCAGCGGGTAAATGGATTTGTAAGAACTGAACATGACCTGGAACCCACCTGAAACAGATGTTAATAACAATTTATGTATAATTGGCACTGACTAATACCTATCTTTACAGCTACTATATAATATCATTTTTCTCTAAAATGTGAGTTATTAAAAACTTATGCTGGGAAACCAGCTCTTTACCAGGAACCTGTACTTTAGATCAGTACATCATATCTTCAAATGTTTTATTCAAGAGACCTCATGCCACTGTTCAAAAATATTATATGGGACACTTACTAATGTTCAATTTAAAGCTGGAATTCAATTTTTTAACGACACCCGTCATAAGAGAAACACAGAGGCTTCCATTGTTCTTTTTGCTAGTTGCCTGGCTACTATGCCAATGCTCTGGTTTCAATACCTTCAAAGTCTCTGGCCCAGGGATTTCTTTTTCAACAAACAGCTGCAATATCAGACATGAACATGTTCTAAAACTACTTGGTTTTCCTCAAAGTAGTAGCTAACCTACTTACTGCACAGTAAACTGGTGTTACACCTCTCTTGGTTGCCTGGGACTGCTTCCCTACTTCCTGGTTCAGACCTTCAGTACACTGGGCCTTCAGTACACTGGGGGCATTGGCCTCTCTTTTTCTAATCTGCATGGGCTGTAGGCAGAGGAGGAAAAGGGGCCAATAGACTCCTGATGCCTCTATCAAGAGAACCTGTCACCAACAGTGTACAAGCACATGGGGGCTTGCCAGATCCCGTAATATTAAGGGCTCATAATCATTGACAATAAGAACCACAACATACCCAGGTGTTTACAATCAGCCACAGTCAGGAAGCCTGTTCTCCTGGGCACTTCAGTACTGTGCACTCTCACCCCCTTCCTGCCCAGGCCAATTTTCAGCTCTGTCACACTTTGAATGACAAGTGTGCGGTCATGCAACATTGTACCCAAATTACATTTTTATTTATTTTTTTTTTTTTTTTTTTTTTAAGACAGATAGAGATTTCTTTTGGTGGTATTTAATCATCATTGGGGTTTTTATTTGCTGTTTTTCTCTATAAAAATTTTCAAATAAGTTTTTTTCTTCACTGATGTGCGCTGATGAGGCTGTGCACTGCCAGGCACTGATAGGTTGCACTGATGAGGCTACACTGATCAGCAATGATGGGGCTGCACTGATTATCAGTGTAAATGTCCCCTGTCACAGGAAAGCCGGTCATTGGCTTTCCTTTCTTCAGACAGTGACAGCGCTGAGGAAAGGAAATGCCAATAACCAACATTTGTTTATATGTTGTGAAAACTCGCTTCTATGGTAGAGCTTTTCTTTTTAAGAGCACACAGCAACTTGCTTCTTTTTAAGGGCCTTTTTGCCCAATTTTATTTACAAGAAAAAGTTCCATAAAGGCTTCCCATGCAGGGGTATCCACCATCAAACAAATTAAACAACATTCAGCCTTCTGGCTCTCTCAAGGATACCGCTTTATGTCTGTCTCCTACAGATTTCTTCCAAAAGGTTGTTTTTGCACACAGCAAACCTCTAGCACACAGCTAGTCTGGCTTCCACCTCTCCTTGGTGAAGCCCTCCCGACTCGAAGGCAGAGACCTCCTGTCTGACAGGGTGGAGCCCTCCTGACTCCTGTCTGACAGGGTGGAGCCCTCCTGACTCCTGTCTGACAGGGTGGAGCCCAGAATCATGGCCTGGCCTCCACAAAAAGGCCTGCACATACCTGTGCAATCAGCGCGCTGGCTGCTCTCAAAACATGGACCCAGGATTGGAGATTTCATCCCTCCCAAATCTCTTAGAAATCTCCAGGGTACAGGTCCCAAAACAGGCTTTACAAACCAAAGAGGAAACTGATAAACCAGTTTCCTCTGCATTATGAGAACTGCCTGGAGCCCCTCAACCTGTATGGTTGAGAATCCTGGGTCACCACCACGATTTCCACCGTGGCAGGATACCGCACTGCCACAATGTGTTCAGATGTTATTGGGAACAGCTGATCACATGGTAAAGAGCTAACATCATTGGCTCTTTACCAGGGGCGGACTGACCATTTGGAAACTCAGGCACTGCCCGGGGTCAGTAGGGGGCCCCATGAGATGCCCCTGGTACCATTTCATAGGCTTTTTTTAGTTTGGGCAAGGACTCAGGGGCCCCATGATCCACTATTGCCCGGGGACCCCATGAGTTGTCAGTCCGCCCCTGCTCTTTACCCTGATCAGTGATGTGTTGTGTCCAAGGGACACAGCTCACCACCGATCGCCACGCACAAGTGGCATGACTAGGAGGACATCATATGACGTCCACCCGCAGGGATGAAAGGCCCACCCGGCTGTCAATCTGCTGTAGGCTGGGTGGGTGGGAACCGGATAATGGCAGGCCAATGCTGTTTGTGGCAGTTGGCATGTAATTACACATGGACAGATTAGCTGCACCTAGGGACTGATGTGAGCCCCTCTATGCAAACTGTCTGCAACCCTACTGGCAGGTTGAATTGCACAGGCTTCTTGTCTGGTGCTGACTGGAAGCACCTGTCTGTACGTGCCACAAAAATACTCTTATCTAGGCAGCGTATGTCCTAATCGGCCATGTGCATTAGTCTTAATATGTTAAATAAAAAAAAAAATAAAACTTTTTGTTTATAGAATTACTAAAAAACTGGATTTTTTTGGTTACTCGCTGTAAAATCTCTTTCTCTGAGTTAATTGACGGACACGGCTTCTCTTCAATCTTGACCATAGGGGTTTATATCGCCACCTACGGGAGTTGGACACAAGGCAAAAAAAAGAACAGCACCACCTATGGGCAGTCCTAGCTGGTAAAAAACACCTCTCTGCTATAGGCAAGCCAGTTAGTCACAAAGCAGTACAACAAAAAAGCCCAAAAGAGGGGTGAGTATTGTGGATTTTATGGTGCGTAACAAAAAAATCCCATTTTCTCTTACATTCAGCTTCTCTTTATTCTTGATCACAGCAACATCCCAAAGCAGTGAGAGGTGGGAGCAAAAACAGGAATAACACAAAGGCAAAACAGGTAGTCTACTGAAAGAAACTCCCTAACTTGGGAAACCAGGAAACTCAAACAGCCACCTGCAAAAAAAAAAAAAAAAAAAAAAACTTGAAGCTAAAAGAAGCATTTAAAGATGCAAACATATCTCTGTGTCCCAATGGATGTCTACCGATCCATTGGGACACAGTGGCAGAGGAGGCTGCCAGACCTTTCCTTGGGACATCTGAGAGCAAAAAGGAGATTCCAACCTCTGGAAGGAAGCCGTAGCAGACAAATATACACAAACCTCCGAGATGACATCCAAGGAGTGCAATGCCCCCTAGGGTGTGAAGGCCGTGGACATATATGCCTATAGAAGAGAGCGGTTTATACCAGTTAGGACTGCCCATAGGCAGTTCTGTGTTCTTTTTGTACCTAGTGTCCTACTCCACAAAAGGGCCCTTAGAGTCACTCTCTCTAACTGTCCTGATCACTAATGTCTCCAGGAATGAAAGTGAAGGTAAATCCAAAGTTTTAAGATGCCACCAGAACGAGAATAGCAGTGAAATCCTTCAGTAAGGACACTGGTGTCTGTGACAACAGGATTTCCCTTATATTGGAAAGATTTGCTATCACCTCCTGTTGAGTTTACAGAGCAGAAAAGGACATTTTTGGCAACACAGTGCACCACAGCATACAGAGTGTGTTCCTGTGTCATAATGGGCAGCAGCACAGTGGCTTAGAGATTTGCACTAGAATCCTAGGCTCAAGTTCAAGGTCAAGATGCTACCTGCATGGAGTTTGCATATTGTCCCTGTGTTGGCGTGGGTTTCTTCTGGTTACTCCTCACACTCCAAAGACATGCTATTAAGTTAAAGCCTAAGTTTTTACAAAACATTTTTAACCACTTGCCCTTCAGAGGATTTACACCCCATCCTTAGCAGGCCATTATTTTCGATATGGTGCTACAATACTTTAATTGACAATTGTGCGATCATGCAACACTGCACCCAAATTAAATTTATGTCCTTTTTTCCCACAAATGGAGCTTTCTTTTTGTGGAGTTTGATCGCCTCTGCATTTTTTATACTATAAACAAAAAAAGACTGAAAATTTTGAGAAAAAAACCAATATTTGACTTTTTGCTATTAAAAATTTCCAGTAAAATAAATGTAAAAAAATCAAATTTCGTCATAAATTTAGGCCAAAATGTATTTTGCTACATGTCTTTGCTAAAAAAAATCCTGATATGTGCCAATTAATTGGTTTACGTGAAAGTTATAGCATCTACAAATGGTGGTATATATATTGGAATGTTTTGGGTTTTTTTATATATACTAGTAATGGCAGAAATCAGCGACTTATAGCAGGACTGCAGCAGGCATTCTGACACTGGGGGGAACTGACTGTCACTGACATCCCCAGTGACACTAATACAGTGATCAGTGCTAATAAAAAGCACTGACATTGTACTAATGACACTGGGCAGGAAGGGATTAACATCTGGGGCGATCAAAGGGTTAACTGTGTGCTGTTTTACTATTTGTTGTGTGTGTGTTTTACTATGTAAGCACATTGCTTTGTATTGCTCTGCCATGCAGATCAAAATAAAAGCAATGTGCTAGAGCTGACAGGGGAAAGATCTGTACTATTTACATACAGACCTCTCCTCAGTCAGTGACCGCCGGGTGACGGTGGAGAATCACCGGCTAGGACCCAGTGGTTAACAGCTGAAGCCGCCAATGGTTGCGTGGGTAGTGTGTGTGCACCCCCTACCCGGAAATGCAAAATCATATATTATATATATATATATATATATATATATATATATATATATACACACACACACACACACACACATAAACATATACACACACATATTTATATATATATACACACACACACACACACTTACATACACACATGATTTTGCGCAGCCCTGACGCCCTGTAGCAGTGTTTCTGCTATAAGGCGGTGGGCAAGCGGGTAAAAAAAATCAGCACAAGGGACAGTACTGACAATCAATGCAAAGTGTCCCTTGTGCTGCTGGCTGCAGACTGAGTTGAATTCCTGTTTCCTCTGACCACCCCACCTTTCTAGTTTAAATCTTCGGGTGCCACAGGGGTTAATATAAGCTAAGGGACCTGTCATGCTCCCAACTTTGTGAGAACAGTTTGGGGATGGTTCCTTCCTGTTCCAACATGACTGCGCACCAGTGCACAAAGCAAGGTCCATAAAGAAATGGAGGGGCGAGTTTGGGGTGGAGGAACTTGACTGGCCTGCACAGAGTCCTGACCTCAACCCGATAGAACACCTTTGGGACGAATTAGAACAGAGACTGCGAGGCAGGCCTTCTTGTCCGACATCAGTGCTTGACCTCACAAATGTGCTTCTGGAAGAATGGTCAACCATTCCCATAGACACACTCCTAAACCTTGTGGACAGCCTTCCCAGAAGAGTTGAAGCTGTTATAGCTGCAAAGGGCGGGCCAACTCAATATTGAACTGTACGGACTAAGACTGGGATGCCATTGAAGTTCATGTACGTGTAAAGGCAGGCGTCCCAATACTTTGGCAATGTAGTATTTTTTTTTTTTTTGGAGTAGATTTTCCTGTCCATACAGTACTATATAAAGCAATGGAACAGATTTCACTAGTACTCCTGACAGTAATCCATACAGTACTATATACATCAATGGAGCAGATCTTACTAGCTCTCCTAACAGTAGTCCATACAGTTCTATATAAATCAAGGCACATATTAAAAAGAAACAGAATGAATGCCCATAGAGAATGGAAGGGAATGCCCATAGAGAATAATGGACCAGAAGGGAATGCCCATAGAGAATAATGGACCAGAAGGGAATGCCCATAGAGAATAATGGACCAGAAGGGAATGCCCATAGAGATTAATGAAACAGAAGGGAATGCCCATGGAGAATAATGGAGTCAGAACCTTTAGACATACAGTATCACATAAATCCTTAGCAGGCATACTCTCCAAATTCAGTGATGATGTTTAAAATTGAGATTAGGTGGGATTGTTACTGTTTTCTATGAAAAGATAAGAGATGAATGACAAAAGGGAATGCCCATAGAGTATAAGGGGAAGTAAAATGTGATTTGAGATCAAAAACAGCTATAATCTTAAATTATTTCAATTTTACAATCTGCTATTCTTCTTTGTGAACACCTGTAGAAAAGGTTAAATTGTTACACGACACAGCTCTCACTGCAAATAAATAAATATTTTGTTTCTATTTTATTCTATGGACATTCCCCTCTGTCATTCACCCTTGTCATTCCATAGAAAGCAATGACAATCCCACTTCATCTTTCTTTAACCTCTTGATGCCGGCAGCACACAAATGTGCGGCCTCCCGGCGTCTGGGCCTAGACGCCGAGCGGCCGCACGTTTGCATGCAATTAACAAAAAACATATGTGCTGAGAGCGCACACCCTGCACGCTCCCAGCACACATGTCCGGTACTCACAGAAAGGTCCCAGTCTGCTCTTTCGATCAGGACCTTTTCTGATCACGTGTCCGCTGTGATGACGCGTCACAGTAGTCACATGATCCCTAAACCCCGCCCATCCCACCTCCCGACTTCTGAAACTCTTAAAGGGTCGGGAGGCGCCGGCGGGAAGGGGTTAAGGGCCAGTTCCCACCACAAAAAGGCATTCTGTATGCACTCCAGATACGTTTTTTCCTTACAGTTCACACTACACTCCATTCCAATGCAGTTTTGATGCAGTTCGCTATGTTCCAGTATGTTTGTGTGCAAAAAAAATGCAGCATGTTCTACTTTATTTTTCTGCATGAGAAACTGACTGGAACAGACTGCACTAGGGCTATTGGAATACATGGAAAACATTGTGCATGTATTTTTGATGCAAAAAAAAAAAAAAACGCACTGGGCTGCATCTGGTGTGAACCAGCCCTTAACCACTTTGATGCCGCCCTAAAACAGAAATACTGCTACAGGGTGGCATGGGTGCGTAAAATCACATGTATATATACACATGATTTTGCAGTTCTGGGTAGGGGGCGCACGTGCGCCCTACCCGTGCCGCCATTTGCGGCTTCTGCTGTCAAGCTGATGATTCCCCCCCAGCACCCGTGGATCACTAACAGAGTAGAGACCTGTATGTAAACGATACAGATCTCTCCCCTGTCAGCTCCTGCACACTGCTTTGTATGGCTGCCATACAAATCAGTGCACTTACAGTGAAATACACAAACAGCCAACATAGTAAAACAGCATACAGCACACAGTTAACCTTTTGATTGCCTAACAGGTTAACCCCTTCCTGCCCAGTGCTATTAGTACAGTGTCAGTGCTTTATATTAGCACTGATCACTGTGTTGGTGTCACTGGAGATGTCAGTGACACCAAGTAATTTCCCCCCCAGTGTCAGAATGCCTGCCGAAGTCCTGCTATAAGTCGCTGATCGCTGCCATTACTAGTAAAAAAAAAAAATAATAATTCCAGTAGATATACCACCATTTGTAAACACTATAACTTTCATGAAAACCAATTACTTTACACGTATTGGCATTATTTTTAGCAAAGACATGTAGCAGAATACATTTTGGCTTAAATATATGATGAAATTTGATTAAAAAAAATTTTACTGGACAAAAAAATAGCAAAAAGTCCAAAATATTTTTTTTTATAGCGCAAAAACATAAAAACCGCACAGGCGATCAAATACCACTGAAAGAAAGTTCTATTTGTGGGGGGAAAACAAAGAATGTAAATTTGGGTGCAGCGTTGAATGACCGCACAATTTTCAGTTAAAGTAACAGCGCCGTATCGCAAAAAATGTCCTGGTCAGGAAGGGGGGTAAATCCTCAGCAGGGCAAGTGGTTAAACATCTCTGTTAACCTCGGAGAGTAAGGCTGGCCATACACTATACAATTTTCTGTCCAATTTCCTTTAGATTTACCTTCAACTGCGTAGTGCAAGGGCCTGCCTAATTGGATACAACTGAAAGTGTTGTTCAGGTTTGACCTCCTATTATATGTTTTTTTGGTAAATCTAAAGCAAAAATCTCAAGAAATTTGTATAATGTATGGCCAGCCTATGTCTGCTAATGCAGGCCATAGATGGGTCGAAAATGAGAAATCGGTCGTTTAATAGGTCGACGTTACCACCAATGGTAAAAAAAAAAAAAATAGCCGATTTTCATCCCGGCCACGGCCGGCATTTAATTACTTCTGTCCCTGCAGAGAGCCCTGCTATTATATTTGACATGAAAAAGTATTGCGGTTGCAACATTGTATCTATTTGTATCCATTTTGGATACAGATGTTTTTATTCGGACACAAATAGATACATTGTTGCAACCACAATACTTTTTCATGTCAAATATAATAGCTGACTGGAATTCTTGTTATTATTATTATTCTTCTTTTTCTTGCAGGTCACGGCTCATGCGCAGTTTTTGTATCGGGAAAAAGATGGGCCGATTTGCCCATCATTGCCATGAAAACCGGCCGATTTTTTTCCAACTTTACAGATAAAAAAAATGTGCCAAAATCCAGAAAACCGGCCGACCAATTAACCCATTAACAGTGCGAAAATCGGCTGATTTTTTTTTTCGGACGAAAAATCGACCCATCCATGGCCTGCATAAGGATTCATTTGGAATGTTGAATGGTTCTGACTCCAGGTCACATTCTCTTTTGTCATTCCCTAGAAAACGGCTATAATCCCAAATGATATCAATCTTACAAACTGCTACTCTGATTGGAGAACACCTGTAGGAAAGGTGAAATTGCTGTTTCTCGAATTTGTCTGCAAATGCATTTATATTTTGTTTTCCACTATTCTGTATGGGCTTTCCCTTCTCTTCCATTATAGTCTATGGGCATCCCGCTGCCCTTTTAAAGTCTATGGGCATTCCATTCTGTCATTCCTTTCAGTATGCCTCTAAATCAATGGAGCAGCTCTTCCTAGCACTGCTGAATGCTGCCCATACAGTGTATTCATCCAGGCCTCTAGTAGGTCAGACACAGAGGTGGAGGTGTATGCCTGCAGCCCAGCTCAGGGGGCTTTGTCCCAGACAAGGTGATAGAAGCCTAGCACGGAGTTCCTGTACTCACTCAGAGGCCGCATTCATGGAGTTCACCATATAGGACACAGGGATAGCAGTGAGGGAGAGCAGCAGGGGCCCAGCCGGCTCCGGGAGACCCATGGCTCACAATATCTTCCGGCATACAAGTGTAGATGAGCAGGTGTGAGGAGTTGTGTCAGCGGCGGGGCGGGAGAGACCAGCACTGAGCAGGCTTTCCTCTCTATTCAAAGTTCATTTTCTGTCTTCACTGCTGACTAGAATTGCAACATAGCTGTGCACTGATAAGAGGGCTGTTAACTGTGACATGACCAGAGCTAACACACACACCACAAGTAGACTCTGAGGAGAATTTATCACAACGAGAGTAGATTTGCATGGCAACCAATCCGCTTCGCATGCACAGTTAAAATTTGAAAATGAAAGCTAGAAGCTGATTGGTTGCCCTGCACAGATACTCCAGTTCTGTTTGCTCCATAAATTCCCCTCTATGGAGGACAGTAACAAAGTTAAAATGTTTTATTATTATTATTATACAGGATTTATATAGCGCCAACAGTTTGCTCAGCGCTTTACAATATAATGGGAGACCTTACAGCAACAATACAGTTCAATACAAGAGGGATAGGAAGGCCCTGATCCTGGGAGCTTACAATCTAACATTATTATTATTATACAGGATTTCTATAGCGCCAACAGTTTGCTCAGCACTTTACA